TAAACTACCTTTACCCCTCAGACAACATCATTACCTTGCGGCTAAAGAGACAAACCATCGGCTATTCCGATGGCTGCATTATTCCTTCTCTGTCAGGCTCTCTATGTTATTATACCTTACTCTCTCAACATCACCGTATTATGTCGATGGTTATTCCGATGTAAAACTTCGACTTAAATGTGTTGATGGTTTTTGGCCTATGTTGTCTGACCGGACCACTTATACGGCGACAATGACGGACTAACGACCCAACCAATCTCAGATCTTATGTCTTCTTCTTCATTCCAGTAATTCCCCTGGTTTTTTATGTATTAATGTTGAACGAAGGCTGAGGGATACATCATGATCTCAGACCTAATGTTGCTAACTGCTTTGCACTTTCATGCGATTTGGATAAATTTGTCAATTTTAGACCTAAGATCTGTACGATTTTAAACCACAACTTGCAGATTGTTTTAGATCTGTAGTTTCTTTGTATTTTTTTTAAACCGTCCTTTTTTAGTATATAATTAAACTTTAAAGCCCGTTTTTATCAACTATTTTCGTTAAGTATGAAGGTCACGAATGCTGAGTGATGAGAAACAAAGGATCTCAGATCTGTTATTCTTGTATTTTTACTTCTTCTAAATGCTCTTTTTGTATCAGTTATCTATGAAGGCTTAGTGACTTAGTGATATTGAAAACTCTCAGACCTAAGTGTCTTGTGTCCTGTAATTGCATGTCATTTGGACGATTTTATTAAGACCTAGCCGAAATAAGATCTATACGGTTTGTAAACAAACTATCGTATTTAAAGATCTACAAAGGCTAGGTCATATTCCAGAATCATAGATCTAAACGATTTGTAAATACAACATTCCTTTTGAATGATTCAGTTAAGCTGAGTGATATCCCATTCCAGATTTTACACTATTTTTTTTTCGAAATACACTTATTGAGTATTTCAGGACATTCAACTTATTGTTTCATTTTTTAGTTATATTTCAGGACAACATATATTTTTAATATAGAATATTTGCCCATGCCTTTTCTTCAGTCCACATATATCTGTAATATAGAATATTTGTTTATACATTTTCGAAATACACTTTGAGTATTCTCACTTTTGATTATCCCTCAATGTGTTTTTCAAGATTCAATGTAATACAGATTATTTGTGTATGTCTTTTCTTCAATTACACATGTATCTGTAATACAGAATATTTGTGTATACATCTTCGAAATACACTTTTTGAGTATTCTCGGTATTGATTCCTCAAAGTTGATTCCAGTTTCATCCATTCTATTTAAAGATCATCAATTTGACCATCCCTCAATGTTTTTATTATCAAAATACACTTTTTGAGTATTACAGATAATCTAGGAAAGGGACTTTCAACTTATTGTTTAATTTTTTACTTACATTTCTGTACAACATACATCTGCAATACCGAATATTTCTGTATGCACTTTCTTCAGTCAAGCATGTATCACCATTTTAAAATTAAACTTATCATTACTACATGGTTATCTATTTTGAATTAGATGCAAAGTGACATTTAAGCATAATAATCTACCTTTGTTGATCATGTCATTAACACATCCTTTACAGTTGATTGTGGTGCTTTTGGTAATCCTCTTCATCGAAGAGCTGTTGTTAAACATTCAAAAAACATTTTGTTAACTCCAAGTATTAGAACACCTAAATGGTTGTATAAGAAAACGTGGCTTCTTTAATATTAACTTTCAAATTAGTTTTATTAAAAAAAATGTTTCATTCATTTGACTACTCTCCTTTCAAAAATTCTGGAAGGTTAGTTAAGGTGGTTACTGATTGTTATGGCCCATCCCATAGGACTGGCGGATACCCTGCCAGCCACAATAGTGGCCTTCGGAACTGCGTGTTCCGACAGTCCGATAGCCTGAATATTGATAACCCTTGATAACCCACATTCCTGATTTAGTGTTATATGCATCTCATGTAATGACTAAGTAGTTATGAAATGCAGGTGTCATCTCCATCTGTAAAATATATGTCAAACATGCAATCATAGTAGAATCTGGAAATATTTTGATATACTTCACTTTAAAACATGTAGTTTAGCATACATAAATGATTATAGAATCCTGCACCTATGTGTCTTCAAAAAACACATGTGAACATTGCATCACATTTTATTCAATACATTGCATTCCAAACATGGCTTACCATTTCATCACATAATACAGGCCACATTTCCAAAAACACAAAACCGTTTACGGCTTTTACATATAAAAAAAAACCATACACATACTTCACTGATATGAATGCAGTGGTATATTCATTCCATGTTAAGCCAACCAAACCTCATCCACACACAGGTGTTTTCATTGAAGTACTTGATTAGAGGCCACATCCCTGTTGCGGAAGAACCTACCATTGCTTAGATTGCTTGCTTGCTGAGACCGAAAATAAAATTGGGGTTGCTCACTCTCTTATGGTGTGTTTTGATCAACCCCAACCTGGGTACTTATAGTGAGCTGGTGAGAGCATAATGTGAAGCAATTGGGTATTAACCAAAGGTTAAACCCAGTCAATCTTTGCTTTGAGATTTTGTTGTACTGCAACGCATTTATTATTTTGGACGCTCAATAATGGTGTTGGCTAGCTCTTTTTCGATTTGGAGGATGGAGAACAGCATGTTCAATGCTGCATTTAATGTTTTTGAGGCTCAAGGCAGCATTAGGATTTCACTTTTGATCTATAAGTTTTAAAGTACAACTAAATTTTTTTATTTATAAAGGTTACACTGCATTTATTGTTTGTAAGGCTCAATGATGCATTAAGATTTTATTTTTGATCTATAACTTTAAGGATGTTTTCTTTTGGACTGAAATTTGATGGTCTGGTCTGGTCTGGTCTGTTTAAGTCTGGTCTGGTCTGGTCTGGTCTGTTTAAGTCTGGTCTGGTCTGGTCTGAACTGGTCTGGTCTGGTCTGGTAAACGTCTGGTCTCTGTGTATTTTATAACTACGGAAGTCTGGTCTGGTCTGGTCTGGTCTGTTTAAGTCTGGTCTGGTCTGGTCTGGTCTGTTTAAGTCTGGTCTGGTCTGGTCTGGTCTGTTTAAGTCTGGTCTGGGACTGAAAACAGTCCAAAAGAAAACATCCTAAAAGTACAACTACTAATCTTTTTTAGTTCGTAAAAGGACGGTGCATTGTAATAAAATTGTTTTTTAATTCTTAAAGCAGCCAGCATTAAATGATTTGTCTTGAGCCACACAACTGTAATATTGGATGCTGCAAACACGGATTTGGGCCTCAACACTGACCCGTCTCTGCACCCATATTAAACTTGACCCGGCCCATTACTGTACAGTGTTTGTGATAGAGTATTGACATACCAGAGGCGCAAGAAAAGAGGAATCATTGTTGACTGAGTCTTCCATTATTTAATATTTATTAGTAATTTGTTTAATTACGTCAGTTACAGAAATAAGTGGGTTTTGGTGCCATGCATCAGTCCACTAGGGCAGTTATTAGATCATGGATGGAGTCAGTTATTATGTCGGTTACTTATTAGATCATGGATGAGTCGGTTATGAGTCAGTTGTATTTTATTCTTTATAAATAGCCTAGCCTTATTCAGGCTGCAGGCATGCATGAATCAATATTATTCTCAGACCCGGAGATTCTCCCTTGGCTTCTACTATCACTCATATGTGAGATACTTGCTGTGAGAAGAGAGTAGGAGAGTTTAATCTTCCATATCTTTCCTTTTAATTTCTGATCTTAACAATTTGGTATCAGAGCTGCGTTCTGTTCAACCATGGTGACCACACGCTCCTCAGCAGCAACCCGCGATCCAGAGGACAATTCATTTTCTGCCGATCCTCTGGCCACCATTGCAGCAAAATTGGAGACACTGGACGAGTTAAAGGAAAAAGTGACAGCCTTGGAGATTCAAGCCTCCAAATCCAACCGAGGGAAAGGGAAGTCAAGACAGTGGGCGGATGATACGGAAGAAGAATCAGAATCATACCGCCCGCGACCACCACATGCAAAAATTGAATTTCCGAAATTCCAAGGAGGTGATCCGCGTGGGTGGATTCTGAAGGCAGAAAAGTTCTTCCGTTATTATGAAACACCTGACGATGACAAGGTTGACATAGCTTCGATGTACCTGGAAGGAGATGCTCTGGATCTATTTTCGTGGATGAATACGGAGCGGACTTTGCTCTACTGGGAAGAATTGGTGAAAGCTCTAGAGGAACATTACGGGCCTCCAGAGTATTTGAACCCCGATGAACACCTGTGCAACATTAAGCAGACGGGTTCTGTAACGGAGTACCGGCAAGAGTGGGCGCGGCGGATTGCACGAGTAACCAACTGGCCAGAGCACTGCTTGCTTGGAGTATTCTTGAATGGTCTTAGAGAAGAAATCCGATCCGAAGTACGAATTCATAAACCAAGGTCAGTCTATCGGGCTGCTAGTTTGGCTATCGAATTTGAGAAAAAGTTAACCCAAACGAAAGGGTTCAGGCCCAATTCGTACCTTTGTCAGAATCGGCCCACCTCCAGTACTAATCCCCTTATTTCAGCACGTGACAGGGGAGTGACACAGGGAAATTCCAGCACTTTTTCGTCTTCGACTAGCCCAAACAGAACCACAAATTCACTTCCATCCACCGCACGCTCGTGGGACGCAACGAAACAACAACGAAGGGACAAGGGGCTGTGTTTCCGTTGTGGGGAACCGTTTCGTCCAGGTCACCGTTGCTCAACCTCATTTTCACTCCTAGAAATCGATGAAGACGGGAATCCTATACCCAACTCGTTGGAACCTGCGGAAGAAACAGAACTGGAAGCATCGGAGGAAGCTGAAATTTCCTTCAATGCTATTTTGGGGAGACCCACAGTAACTACTATGAAGCTTCATGGGTCACTGGCTGGTCGCGAAGTCCTATTGCTGGTGGACAGTGGCTCCACTCATAATTTTGTATCAGATTCATTAGTACGAGACTTAAACATGACTGCTGTTTCTATTCCGAGTTTCGGCGTTCAGATTGGAGATGGAAGTGTGGTTCGTTGCAATCGTATATGCAAGGATGTCCCAGTTCAGTTACCGGGTTTGACTATTACTCAAGATTTTTACCCTTTTTCTTTGGTGGGCTCAGATTTAGTATTGGGTATTAAGTGGCTTGCATCTCTTAATACCATCCAAGCAAATTGGAATGAGATGTTTTTGATCTTTTGGGTGAATGGAAAGAAGTATAAATTGCAGGGGGTGCCAAGAAAAGAAAGTCAGGGTGCCAGTCTTAATATTATGGCCCCAGTTGAGCCAAACTTAAATTCAGATAATTCTGATCACATATACCTTGGCAGTCTGTTGAATGAGTTTGATGCTGTTTTTGATGAACCCAGAACCTTGCCACCCTTCAGAGAACACTACCATGCTATTAATCTCATCCCTGGTTCTCAACCTCCGAATCGAAGGCCGTATAGATACCCCTATTTTCAGAAGAATGAGATTGAAAGGCAGGTAGAGGACCTACTTCAAAAGGGCTTCATCCGTCCTAGTTACAGCCCCTTTGCTAGTCCGGTTTTGTTGGTGAAGAAGCAAGATGATTCGTGGCGCATGTGTGTGGACTATAGGGCCCTAAACAAAATCACTGTCCCAGACAAATACCCTATACCCAACATAGATGAACTTCTGGATGAATTACATGGTGCCACCTTCTTTTCCAAGATTGATTTACGCTCCGGTTACCACCAAATCAGGGTTCGAACAATAGACATCCCCAAAACTGCTTTCCGAACTCATAGTGGTCACTATGAGTACGTTGTCATGCCTTTCGGTCTCACCAACGCACCAGCTACTTTTCAGGCAGCAATGAATGATCTTTTCCGCCCATATCTGAGGAAATTTGTCCTGGTCTTTTTTGACGATATACTTGTGTATAGCCAGACTGCAGACTTGCATAAACAGCACCTCCGTACGATTTTGCAGGCCCTCAAACATCATTCCTATTTTGCCAACTTAAAGAAATGTGCTTTTGGTCAGACTCGAATATCCTTTCTGGGGCATCGAATCTCTGCCCAGGGCGTGGAAACCCATCATGAGAAGATTAGTGCAATAAGGGAGTGGCCAATCCCAACAACAGTGACTGAACTTCGTGGTTTTTTGGGCCTCGCAGGTTACTACCGTCGCTTTGTGAAGAACTATGGTATGATCGCCCGTCCCTTGACTAATCTTACTAAGAAGAATGCTTTCCTTTGGTCTCCCACTGCTCAACAAGCTTTTGAAAGGCTCAAACTTGCTTTAATTTCTGCTCCGGTGTTAAGGCTTCCTGATTTTGATTCAGAGTTTGTTATTGAATGTGATGCCTCCATGGAAGGGATTGGCGCTATTCTTTTGCAGTTTGAGCATCCCATTGCTTTTTATAGCAAAGGGTTTTCATTTTCTAACAGATATAAATCTGCTTATGATCGTGAGTTGTTAGCTTTGGTCTTGGCAGTGCAACACTGGCGCCATTATTTATTGGGACGTCATTTCACAGTTCGTACGGACCACAACAGTCTCAAGAATCTTATGGATCAGCAAATGCTAACAAACAGCCAGCAACGTCTCATTCTCAAACTTCTCCCATTCGACTTCAACATTGTTTATAAGGCGGGAAGGGAGAATGTTGGAGCAGATTCTTTATCTCGAAGACCACAACATGCCGACTTCCTTAATATGGTGGTTCCATTGCCTATGGATTTCTTGGATTTGGAAGAGGCATTGTTACAGGATCCGTTTACTGCCCCAATTATCACTGCCTTACTGCAGGATGCTCAATCCCAACCTGGGTACTCCTTGGTCCAGCAACGTTTATACTACAATGGAAGGCTAGTGATACCCAGAAACTCTCAACTTCGTGCTAAATTGATTGAAGAGGCACATGTCACACCGATAGGAGGGCATGGGGGGTTCCTCAAAACATTGAAGAGGCTTTCAGGTACCACTTTTTGGCCCAACATGAAAACTGATGTGAAGTCTTTCATTCAGCAGTGTTTCATTTGCCAGAAGAATAAATATGAAACTTTATCTCCTGCTGGACTGTTACAACCCCTCCCAATCCCGCAGCGTATTTGGGAAGATATTTCCCTTGATTTTATCGTTGGCTTGCCTAAATCTGGGAATTTTGATACTATACTAGTGGTTGTGGACCGCTTAAGCAAGTATTGCCATTTCATTCCTATGTGTCACCCATACACAGCCAAATCAGTTGCTGCCCGTTTTTGTGAAGAAATTGTTCGTTTGCATGGCGTTCCCCGGTCCATCGTTTCTGATCGTGATCCTCTTTTCCTGAGTAGTTTTTGGCACGAATTGTTTAAATTGAGCCAGACGAGACTCCGAATGAGCACTGCCTACCACCCTCAGACGGATGGTCAAACTGAGGTGGTAAACCGTTGTCTTGAAGCGTATTTGCGTTGTTTTGCACATGAACAACCTCGTACTTGGAGTATATACCTTTGTTGGGCAGAATACTCGTTCAACACTAGCTTCCACTCCTCAGCTAATCTCACTCCTTTCAAGGCTGTGTATGGTAGAGACCCTCCTCCTCTTCATCCGTTTGTACCAGGGGAAACTCAGATAGCTGAACTTGCTTCCCAGTTGGAAACCAGAGATGACATACTCAGGTTGCTTCAAACTAACCTACAAAAAGCTCAAGACAGGATGAAAGCATATGCAGACCAACATCGCCGTGAGCTTACATTTAATGTAGGAGATTCTGTTTTTCTGCGCATTCAACCTTTCCGCCAGCGCTCTCTCACTCAAAAAAAGTATGCAAAGCTCTCTCCACGTTTCTTTGGCCCCTATAAAGTCATTCGGCGAATTGGGCAAGTGGCTTATGAGCTGGAACTTCCACCTTCATCTCGAATCCATCCTGTTTTTCATGTCTCACTACTTCGTCCTGCTCATGGACAGATTCCTACTATACCACTTGCGGAACTACCTATTTCTGATGATTTTGAGTTAGTACTTCAGCCGGAAAGTGTATTGACTCATCGCTGGAGGGGCCATCAGTTAGAGTTATTGATCAAATGGCACACTCGTCCCACAGAAGAGGCTACTTGGGAAGACTATGAGTTTTTAGTGCAGCAATTTCCAGAATTTCGCCTTGAGGACAAGTCGGCTTTCAAAGGAGGGGGTAATGATAGAGTATTGACATACCAGAGGCGCAAGAAAAGAGGAATCATTGTTGACTGAGTCTTCCATTATTTAATATTTATTAGTAATTTGTTTAATTACGTCAGTTACAGAAATAAGTGGGTTTTGGTGCCATGCATCAGTCCACTAGGGCAGTTATTAGATCATGGATGGAGTCAGTTATTATGTCGGTTAGTTATTAGATCATGGATGAGTCGGTTATGAGTCAGTTGTATTTTATTCTTTATAAATAGCCTAGCCTTATTCAGGCTGCAGGCATGCATGAATCAATATTATTCTCAGACCCGGAGATTCTCCCTTGGCTTCTACTATCACTCATATGTGAGATACTTGCTGTGAGAAGAGAGTAGGAGAGTTTAATCTTCCATATCTTTCCTTTTAATTTCTGATCTTAACAGTTTGGGCGGGAACATTGTACACTTTTCCACTTGCTTTTGTATAATAGAAGATACTGATAGAAATCAAAGCAAAATTCCAAAGGACTGTTCTAGAGCAGAGGTGAGACGAAAGAATTAGGAATCATAGGCATAATATAGCAATACTCACGTACCTTTGACTGCGGCAGCCATATGAATTCACTGAGAGATAGATGTGCCGTCTTGCGTTGCTGAGGAGAGAAAGCACCGAACGAAAGAATTAGGAAGATGAAACGAAGAATTATTTAGGAAGGAGAGAGGGCAAATGGGTGAATTCAGCGATTATTCCAAACCGCCGAAACTTAAACGCTCCAATTTCAGCGTTTTGGTTTTCGGCGGTTTCATCCGAGCCTCTGTTCGCACCCTCTGTTTACCAAACGCAATAAATCGGCGGTTTTGACGGTCAAAAACGCCGAAACGGTCAAACCCTCCGTTATTTGACTGAACCGCCGATAAACAAACGCACCCTTAATCCCGCAACAAATCAAGAAAGGCTCCAAGACTCTTGAAAACCATCAAAAGTAAACTTCTTTCGATCTCCATTCTTGAAAACCCTGGCCGGAAGTACGTTGCCGCGATGGTGCTCAGAGTGACGTTGGTCAACCTGAGAGAGGCGCCTGAGTACGATAAATGTCATTGCTGTTATATGAAAATGTCATAAAGTTGGCACAATTTAATTCATTCAAAACACAGTGACATTATTTATTTACTGATCGAATATTAACAAAGTAAAAACCTCATTCAGATAAGTTTATTTTGATTTACTGAATATCATTGATGCTTATATAAAACATCGGGCTAGAATGTGGGTACACATTCTTACCGAGAACATAATGATATATTTGACAAAACTTGAGCTAACATTTCTTATGCATGCACTCTAATTAAGCTTGCACTTGTTCTTCTGTTTTATCAATATCGCGTGCATATAATTAGCATTTTTGCTTTGCAAATGTGATTATGTGAAAGATCAGATTCATCCAACAAGTTGAACATAAATAACTATCATTCCATGCGCACCTAGAGATAATATACTATCGTATATGTTGCTAAGTGATGTGATTTAAGTTAAACAAGATTTAATTTCTAAATTGTGTTGCTCATTAAATGAGAGAGTAAGGATGTTTTCTTTTAGACTGAAATTTGCTGGTCTGGTCTGGTCTAGTCTGATATGGTCTGGTCTGGTAAACGTCTGTATGTTCTCTGTGTATTTTATAACTACGGAAATCTGGTCTGGTCTGATCTGATCTGGTCTTGTCTAGTCTGATCTGGTCTAGTTTGGGACTGAAAGCAATCCAAAGAAAACATCCTAAAATGAATGGTTGACTTTTATTTTAAGAAGCAAATTCAGAGTGAATATTTGCTGATTGATATCTTCAACGTGAAGTTACTATATAGTACTACCTCCGTCTCGCTAAGATTGTCTCATTTTACCTTTTCGATTTGTCCCACTAAGATTGTCACATCCCAAATTAGGCAAAATTTGTGTGGCTCCAAATTATTCTTACTTTATTCTTACTTTATCAATTCAATATCAACTACATAACTCACTTTTTATTAGTTTGCGTGTCCCTTATACTATCGTAATATTCACCATGTAGTTACCTCTCCAGCATGTAGAAAAATCTTGCATAATATGAAAGGTTTTTCGTATATGAGATTTCTACTCCGTACTTTTTATAGATTGACCGTCTTTTTAAACACCAATCCTTGTCAGGGACGGAGCTAGGGGTGGCCACCCCTGGCCCTGGCCCAGCCCAAATTTTAAAAATCTCTATATTTTTAATGTAAAAAATTCCATGTGAATTTTTTTCCAAAAATATTCTTTGTACCGGCCCAGTCCGGTCCAGTGTCCTGGCCATGGCTCCGCCCCTAATCCTTGTTATACCACTCAATGCGTTCAATATTATTAGGAAATCATTTATATTTTGCTTCGGTTAGTGGGCGCTCTTTTACTAGTATATAATGGACTCTCGACCATCATTTTAAACACCAATCTTGTTGTACCACTCAATTCGTTCAAGATAAGGAAATGATTTATATTTTGCTTCGTTAGTGATGGCTCTTTTACAATATGAAAGTATAATTTCTTTGACCATTGTAGTCATTTTTAGGCTAAAATCATTCAAAATTGTGACTATATAGAACGAATAACTGGAACATTAGGAAAAGACTTTTGCATTAAGAAACAATAGAGATATTTGCTTTTATGAGTCTACATGGCTTATTAACATCATATTTCATACTTTATATTTGACCATTGACTTTTCTTAGCTTGATCAATGACAATCAACTTTGACTAATGATATTTTTTAATATGAAATTATTTAGAATATGAAAATTTTATAAATTATATACAAATATAATAAGTAAAATCAACATCCAAAGTTTGTCATCTTTGACCAAGAAAAGTAAATATGGCAAACCTTTTTGGATAGGAGGTAGTATAATTATTGAGAAAAACTTAAATTGATCAAAAGTACTACTCATAAAATAAATTAAAAAAAAGAGCTTTTGATAAGAAATTCAAAGTTAAGTGTGTGTTTAAGTAAATAATTTAATGACATGTGGTTACATGGGAAGTTCGTGAGCATACACATTAATGTCTATAGAGCAATTGATTATGTTGTCTCTTGTGGTACATATGGAATTTAAGTTTTTCTTATAAGCTCATCTAGACCTGTTCCTATATGTGACATGTGAATCCTCCCGGTTCGATTCTTTTAGACCGCATAACCCAGTCCGTTGAGGATCTCTAACGAACGTAGCAAGAGTCCCGGGGATGATTCCGGGACATGAGCGAGATTACTCATTAGACCGATTAAAAGGACTACGTAAGTACCTATACGTAATAGTCCGGGAAATGAGGCGATGCAAACGCAAAGTAGGTACAAAAATACGGGATTTGGAAAGTACCGAGTGTTGATAGGCTTTGATTCGGAACTGCATATACGGAAGAAAAATGCTAGAGGTACACGTTTTGTGTACACGTTTGGTGTACACTTGTCTGTCCTTCACAGGCAATTTGTCTATCACCGGCAATTTGTCTATGACAGACAATTTGTCTGTGAAGGACAGTCAAGTGTACACCAAACATGTACACAAAACGTGTACGTCTAGCATTTCTCTATGCCGAATGGAAGGACTGATTTAAAAAAAATACTAATATTAATGTATTCGGAAGCCTGATATCCGAATTGCTAAAAATGAGCTTAAAAAAGCAAAACATGCCCCACTAGTCAAATGTGTATTTTAATTATTAAACCA